ATGGCCGGCGTTTGAGGGGCGAGTGATTAGAAAATGGTTCGTTGTGCTTTTGTGCAAAGTGGTTTTACGATATATGGCATAAGTGGAATAACGAAAATAACAAGATGGTTGCTTTAGTCACAGACACCTATACTTTAGGATGTACTTTCAAAACCTGCTTATTGTAAATTCTCATTTACTGGAGTATTCATGCAGTAGACTAAATATATTTCCATAATTGCTTTACTGTATATAGCGTTTTTCATTAATAATTCGTCGCTTTGTAGATATTACCCTTGATTTATTGTCTACAGATATCTTTCTTCAAGAAGATTTAACGGTGAAGATTGGCGACTTCGGTCTAGCGACAATAAAATCAAGGTGGAGTGGACAGAATTTTGAAAATCCATCTGGCTCCATATTGTGGATGGTATGTAATCAGTGTATCGTGGGAGGGGTATTACCATATTACCACGAAATTGTCGCACTTTTGTTCCTGCTAGTTGCAGTTTGCCTTAAGTTTCATGCATGTGTACTTTATTTATAGCTTACCAAATAAATGTTTTCATGGCTGTAAAATTATTGTTACGTAGTAATCAGCCACTTTTCAAAAGCTTTCAAAGCTTTTTGAGATGTGGGTTAAGAACCACCAGCCAGAAATTTGGCAACTAAGCACCCATGCAACTGATACAAGAACCACTGACTAGTTGTTAAAAAACCTTATTAAACTTTTAGCAAATTAGTAAGCAGGTACTAGGAAGAAAACAAAATACTGTAATCTTGCTAGCATGAATTGTGTCTTTCATCCACGTCATGCACGCATTTATTTTATCAAAACTATAGTTTCATGTTGTACAAAACTCTAAACCAGGAACAATTGTTTTGGACTGGAAATAAGAGCCAGTTAAGAACCGCTTCACATCTTTTTTTTAAAACTATATAACTGGGGACCTAGTACCCGAAATATATATATAAGAACTACTTCAGTCTGAAGTCAAAATTCACTGGTTCTTTTATGCGGAGATTTACTGTACCTTCAGTAGTAAAACTGTACATGCAATGAGGGTTGGTTCTTACTATATAGACATCTGGGGGGGGGGGGGG